ACAACCACATTAATCTTATTATTTATTATTTAATCATTATTTAATAAAGCAATATTGCAAAAAGTGTTACGATTCATTTTGCGTCTAAAAGTAGAAGCAATAAAATTGTGTTAATAAAAATTAAATTAAATAAATTAAAAGTGTCTCAAAAAATAAATATATTTTTTATTGAAATAAAATATTTACATAAATAAATAAATTCTAACGAAATAAAATAAATACAATAAATAAGTTTTTAATTAGTATAAATATTATAAATATAATAAATACCAATCAAATAAAATTTTTTTAAATGGTGAGTATTTTTGTTGCAACTTAACTTCTTATTAGTTTCACCCAAAAAGAAATTTGCAAAATATTTATTGGCTGCCAACAAGTTTTTTTACAGGTTTTAACGTCTTTCAAGTTTAAATCTTTTTTAATTTCCAAAAATTTCTTTCATGTGCTTTGTGACATTTTTAATGAGAAGCAAAAGCAGCAAAAACAAAAAAAAACTAAAAGATGAAATGCCGGGTCGAAAACTGGTTTTTCTTGTGATTGAAAAACACAAATTCTGAATTGCATTTTGAAGCCTTGTAGTCTGCGTTCTCTCTCTTTCACTCTCTTTATTCTGCGTTACCCGCTGAACATGCTATGTTCTGCATGTTAAGTGTAGTCGCTTTAACGAAAAGAAAGAAAATAACAAAATGTAAAGAAATTATAAAGAATTTTACGTGTGTCTTTTTTTACGCTGTACAACTCCACAAAAAAAAAAAAAAAAAAAAAAAAAAAAAAAAAAACAAATATTGGAGATCAGACCCTCATATTGGGCTTGTGTGGCTGTTTGCTAAACGGCACTGGAACACGTTTAAAACTTATTTCCTTCTTAGGAAAAAGGTAATGTCACATTTCTTTCATCGTCGTGTATGCTTTTCACACGATGCACGCATTGCTCTGCAGTTGCCACACACTTCAGTTTGCATAGCAGATACAGTTTCATAAAATTACCCACTTCTCGTTAACAGTTGCGAGTAAAACTTTTACGCTAGTTCTG